ATAAATCACCAACCCTCTATTTTTACTTTGATCTTGATAATTATAATGGATTTCCACATTAAGGGTGAGTCCCTCAAAGACTAAGAATTTCTATCTGACAATTGCTTTTCTTTTGTTGATATGGAACTAGTTCTTTTCATCAAGACTTTTTGTGTGTAAGGAACAGAAACATAGATTTGTTCAAGTGAGGTGGGATTCATCGCATAGATACAAAAACTAATTCACAGATGCTTGAAATGAAACACACCCAGACACCATGGAAATGGAGTTTGAAATGAAACTTGTCTCTCTTTTCATCTTTCAGATTCCCAAGTGATGCATAAGCATGATATTTTCATCTTTACTTTTTCTCTGTCTCCTTTTCTGCTCACAAAATAAAAAGGAAGATTTTTAATTTGAGAGAGGAAGAGAAGGTAATGAAGCGAGAGAAAGAAAGAGCTATAGAAGAGACCACAGGAGAAGCCTTTCTGCCTAGTACCACTGAATGGGCTATTCTGATATCATGGGATAATAAAACTTTCACAATCTTCCCACAAGGAAGGCATCCTAGGAGTATCTCCTCTTCCTGGTGCCAGAGCTTTGTGCTTATTGCCTATCAAAATTCTATATACGTAAAATTCCTAGCAAGATTATGCTGTCTGATGCTTGGGATGATGATTTAAACCTGAAGAATAAAGTTCAATTTAACAATGATTATAGGGCCTGATCTACAATGAGGCCAAATCTGACCTGGCAATGAGGGACAAATGGAAACTTGGCTGCAGGATGATTCATTCATCTGCCATGTGTTCAAAGATCTTGATCAATAAAAAGAGAATAAAATCAAGAGGAGTAACTAGTGTCAGCCTGAAACCAAAATAGATAAAGCCAAGAGGTCATAAAGAAAGGTTCTTAAGCATTATTGCCGATAGTAACTGTCACAGGAGACTCTGCTGGAACTATACCCTCCAAAGAGGGCCCCCATTTCAAAACAGGGATGTTAATTAGATATGATACTTAGTATTGTCACATTTAATGCTAGAATCTATATATACTACCTACAGTGAGGTGCTGAAGAGGCTCTATAACCTGTTTGTACTTGAGAAGCAAGGATTAGGACTGGGAATAATGACCTGAAATTTGGGAAAAAGGAAATAAAAATAAAATAGCTGTAAAATTTGGACATTGCCACCTTAGACTGGCTGATGTGCCTGAGAATAATAGCCATTTGTGATGGACTGCAGGAGACAGAGTAGTTTACTTTTAGGTAGCCCACCATAGTACATATAGCTCAGTGTGTGTTGCCACTTCTGGAACATTACAAGCTCACCTCTGGCTATTTAAGAGTTACTAACCATACTGACTGATAACTAGAATGTTACTCTAAAACTGTACCATCTTGTTATCAAGCCACCTTGCTTCCAGACCCTTCTGGAGAAGCTATACATGACTGATTATAGGTTACTGAACAAGTGTGCTGTAGCAAGCTGAATATGACCCATGTTGAGACTTCAGATCTGATATTTTCAAGGATGGAAATAGCGTCAGAGCCAGAGGAAATCAAAAGTTTGAAGTACAGTAGTAATTTTCCAGGAAACTTTGGAAACAATAGCATTGCTACCAGGTATCTTAGCCCATAAGACTGAACTCAAAGCCCTCACCCATGCCTTATGCCTTACAGGAGGTAGGAAAGTAAACACAAGGTCTATAAGTAAGAAAAATATTTGTGACCATGGTTTCCCAAGGGATATAGAGGGAAGCTGTACTTTGGGCCTTCCTTGGGTTCAAGGAAGACGGGAAGAAATTAACAGAAGTCTGCTAGTTTCTCAAACTTGATTCATAGACTGATGTAGCTTCCATTAGTCTGATTACTTATTATCTACCTTTATTCTAATAATAGGGTTGGTTAATGTGATTCTGCTCATTAATACACTGACAATGTGTCTCAAAATGACAGTGTCACACACCCAGATTAATTCTATGTCTGACCCACTAAGTCTTCATCAATGGTTCTACTGCTGGTTGAAGACTGAAAATTTTCTGGTAAAAAAATTACCAATTTCTGTGGCTTTTGTTACAGGTGTAGAAATACTAGGATGCTGTTGTCTTTATTGCTGCTGTGGAATGGTGACACATCTTCAAGATAAAGCTGTGAAGATACTGGCTGGTCCAAATGCTATCATGATGTAGAGGATCTCCCCAGCTGCAGCTGGGACTAGAAAGTTTCTTGACAACTTTCTTTTCTATAATCCTGAAAAAACCTAACTTCATCTCTTAACAGCATGAAGTAGTCAGATGAGTCATTGTTCCTGTTTCCCAGAGAAATGTAAGGTTATAACTGACAGCGGAGTATATGTAAACAGGTATAAAATAAGTGGACAATTTTTACCTCTTAAAGGTAAAGCTGGGAAGCTGATTCTTCAGGACTAGACTGCTGGATTCCTACTTGCCCAGGTCCTGTGGCACAAGCTGCTTTCTTATCTCACCTTCTCCAGAGCAGGAGAACCTTATCAGGTTAGATCTAATCTAACCACCTGCAGGCTTAAAGGAACACTATGACAAAACAGAAGAAATGTATTGCCATCGCTTTTATACGTTGTACTTTCTGTTTCCTCCTTCCAATTGACACATTCCTATCAATTTCCTATTTCTTATTTACTGATTAACATCAGATTCCATGGTCATTTCCTCTGGGAATACTAAAAATTATTCTTGAGAGCCAACTTTTCTAAAAAGATCTATTTATTCATTTTCTTAGTTTTAAAAATGTTTGACTAACATTCAAAAGTTGTAATTTTTATGGGGTACAGTACAATATTTCAACACACACTGCATAAACCAACAAATCAAGCAAACAGTCTTTCCTTTTTCTCTTTTCTTTGTGTCTGGAGTTTGCTAACTCCTCTCTTCTAGCTACTTGTAGAGTAACTAGTAAATTAATTTTGTTATGGTCGCTAAGCTGTGCCATAAAATGCTAGAACTTGTTACTTCAGGTTAGACTGTGTTTTGGTACCCTCTATCCACCCTTCTTAAATCTTCCCTCCCACCCTTTTTGGCCTTTGTTAATCGCTAGTCTAAGTTCAGATTGTCTATTTTTTTAAATTTCCACATATGAAACAGAAAATATACATTTTTGTGTGTGTGTCTAGCTTATTTCACTTAAGATAATGATTTCCAGTTCCATCCATCTGGCTGCAAATGTCAACATTTCATTCTTTTTTTTTAATGGCTGAATGATATTTCCTTGTGTATATATAACACATTTTATTTATCTATTCATTCATCCGTGGATATATAGGTTGATTCTATAACCTGGCTCTTGTGTCTAGTGCTGGAAGGAACTTGTGAATGCAGGTATCTCTTTCATATGTTGACCTCACCTCCTTCAGATATATATCCAGAAGTGGACTAGCTGGATCAAATAGTAGATATAGTTTCAGTTTTTGGTGGAATTTCTATACCATTCTCCTTAATGGCTTACTAATTTACATTTCCACCAACAGTGTATAAAGGTTACACTACCCCAACATCCTTGTGAGCATTTATTGTTTTTTGTATATTTTTTATTTATTTTTATTTAGGTTTCCACATAACACTTCACCTGAGTCAAGTATTCTGAGGTTTACACAGTAGGCATATAAGTATGAACTTGTCTATGTGTATGTAAGTATGTATATGTATATGTATATATATATTAATTTATGCACACATCAATCTATGCACACTCACACACAGGAAAACTACTGTGACTGACATTAATAATGCAGCCAGAGTATTTTTTTTTTAAGATTTATTTATTTATTTGAAAGAGTTACACAGAGAGAGGAGAGGCAGAGAGAGGGGAAGAGGTCTTCCATCCTCTGGTTCACTCCCCAACTGGCAGCAATGGCTGGAGCTGCACCTATCCAAAACCAGGAGCCAGGAGCCTCTACAGGGTCTCCCACATGGGTGCAGAGGCCCAAGGACTTGCATCATCCTCCACGACTTTCCCAGGCCAGGGCAGAGAGCTGGATTGGAAGTGGAGCAGCCAGGACTTGAACCGGCGCCTATATGGGATGCGGGTACTGCAGGTGGCAGCTTTACCTGCTACACCACAGCGCCAGCTCCAGATCAGAGTCTTTTATTTCCCTGCCCTCTTTGGAGTAGGCTGGGCCTGGGAGTCTCTGCGACCAGTGATGTGTGAGTGGCAGGAGGTGTGCCACTTCCAGGCAGAAGCCCCTAGAAGCCATCGGAAATTGCATGGCATATGCTGATGGGGAGGCACCTACATGGACACAGCCCAGGCTGGCGAACCCTCAAGAGAGGTACCCTGGAATGGACATAGGTGTGACTGGAAATGGGACCATGATTTGATGTTGGGTATATAGAGAAGGACACTCAGGAAAGGGGCAGGTTTGATCAAAGACCTGGAAGATGTGAGAGAGCAAGTGAAGCATCTCTGTGTTGTAGTAATCCGCCAAGAGATGGTCGAATGTGTAGAAGACAGTCACTTTTTTTTTTTTTTTAACACATTAGAAAACAGAGACAGTGGGGTGGGAGTTGTGGCTCATTAGGTTGAACCACCAAGCAGTAAGAAATGCAAGCAACTCCACATGAAATCTTATTTCAGGATAAAATAAATGATAAATGATCAGGTTTTTCTTTTTGGTTTTAATAAACAAGATTTAATCCAAGGAAATAATTTGCTTAAATGTTTTAGTTCGATGATTTCCTGTTATTAACCCTGCTGAAGAACATAGGCATGGATGGCTGGAAGGCTCTGGAGAGTGAAGGAAGGAGCAGATGGTGAGTGTGAGTGGTGGGAAAGGAGAGTGGGGAGCGAAAGGTATACAGAGAGCTGCTGGAGGGACCCCAGAGCAGGGCACAAAAGAAGGCGGAGCTTGCTTTCCCTGCTGGCCCCCAGCCTCACAGCCTACTTTCTTGACCAGCCAGCCGTCCCCACCTCCCAGTGTTCAGAGGATAGGTCGGGCGGCACCCCAAGGAGCTTTCTTGCTTAGAGGCTAGGAGCTGGCAGTGTCGGGAGCACTGTGCTGAAGGTGGGCATGGTTTACTGAAATTTCACACAATCGGGTGCCTGTGCACGCAGACCTCAATCTGCCCTCACTCTCACCCCAGCTGCTGCTCGTAGTCTGTCTTGCGTCACCGTGTGCTGCCAGGAGTGTTTGTCTTAACCCCACCGGCTCCTGAGGACCATGGAGCCACGCTCCTGTCATCCCCCTCCTCGAAGAAGGCCGTGTCTGCATTAGCAATGCAGGTTCACTCTGTGCCTTCTGTGGCTAAGGACGTGAAGGAGCTGGCGGTAGAGGGGTCAGAGGGGGCAGCACGACCCGGAAGTGATTCAGGAGCCTCGGTCACAACAGGCCTCCGGGTTATAACTCTTAAAAAACACATTTTCAGTAATCCCAGGCACTGTGCTCCTGCGTTACCCTGCACGGGGGAGACACCTCTGTCATGCACGGCCTCGTCTTCCTGCCCTGCTCACGCAGCGGCGGAAAGATCAGAGGAAAACCTCTGGGCGCGCTACGCAGGGAGACGCAGCGCCCAGCCGCCCTGACCAGCGTCTGCCTGACCAGCGTCTGTCTGACCAGGCTGTCGGCCATGTTGCTACGGTTTGTCTCCGCCTGAGGTAAGCCGTGATGGGCCTCCGGGTCCGTCAGTTTCGTTGGCCGTCAGTCGCAGCCGTTTTCTGTCATGGTTTTCTGGGCCTTGTTTCTGATTCGCGATGGTTCATTCCTAAGCCCGCACCGGGTGCTCTCTTTGCTGATAGGAAAGGCCACCATTTCCCGCCACCTCTGATGACACCCGCACCTTCCTTAGAAGTTGGAGCAAGTGCAGCAGAGGTGGAGGACAGAGACTCCGAGCCTCGATTTCCCCAAACCCTAAAAGCTGAGATCACCGAGGTCGGAGTCCATGTGGCGCCTCTTCACCAGCATCGGCGTGGCGTCCCCGCCCGCCCGGGAGCAGGACACAGTGCCCTTTTTTGTCTCTTTGACAGCCATTCTAAGTGGAGTGAATTTGACGCCACATTGTGGTTTTGATTTTCCTTGTCCTGATGGTTAGTGATATTTAACATTTTTTCATGTGTTTGTTGGCTCTGTATTTTTTCTTTTGAGAAATGTATAGTCAAATCCTTTACCCATTTCTTAACTGGATTTTTAGACAAATATTGTTAAGCTTTTAAAAAAGATGTATTTATTTGAAAGGCAGAATTATAGAGAGACAGAGGCAGAGAGAGCGAGAGAAAGAGAAAGAAAGAGAGAGATCCATCTTCCATCTTTCCCCAAATGGCTGCAATGGCCAGATCTAGGCCAATCCAGGCCAATCCAAAGCCAAGAGCCAGGAGCTTCTTCCATGTCACCCAGATGGCAGCAGTGGGTCAAGGAGTTAGGCCATCTTCCTCTGTTTTCCCAAGTGCATTACCAGGGAGCTGGATCATAAGTAGAGCAGTCAGGACTTGAACCAGTGCTCAAAGGGAATGCTGACACTGAAGGCCCTGGCTTTACCCAGTATGCCACAGCACTGGCCCCTATTGTTAGCTTTTTGAGTTCCTTATATATTGTGGATATTAATCTTTTTTCAGATGAATAGTTCACAAATATTTTTTTCCTATCAGTTTTCTGCGGCCGGCGCCGCAAGGCGGAGGATTAGCCTAGTGAGCCGGCTGGTGATGTGTTTCTTAAGAACTGAGAGTGGACATCCTTGCATGGTTTCAGATCTTAGAGGAAATATTTTTAGCTTTTCCCCATTCGATATGAGATTGACTATGTATTTGTCACATATAATATTTATGATGTTGAGGTATATTTCTTATATATATATAGAGAGAGAGAGTTTGTTCAAGGTCTTTAATCATGAATGGATATTGAATCTTATTGAATAGTTATTATGGACCTACTGGGATGATCATATGATTTTTATCCTGCTTTCTGTTAATGTGATGTATTACATTTATTGATTTGTATGTGTTGAACTATTCCTGAATCCCTGGGATAAATCTTACCTGGTCAGAGTGTTTGATCTTTTTTGATATGTTCTTAGATTTTTTTTTGCTAGTATTTTTGAGAGATTTTGCATTTATGTTCATTAAGCATGTTGGTCTGTGGTATTCTTTTTTTTTTTTTTTTAAGATCTATTTATTTATTTGAAAGTGAGAGTTACACAGAGAGAGAAGGAGATGCAAAGAGAGAGAGTCTTCCATCTGATGGTTCACTCCCCAATTGGCTGCAACAGCTGGAGCTGCACCGATCCAAAGCCAGGAGCCAGGAGATTTTCCAGGTCTCCCACACAGGTGCAGGGGCCCAAGGACTTAGACCATCTTGTACTGCTTTCCCAGGCTGTAGCAGAGAGCTGGATAGGAAATGGAGCAGCCAGGACTGGAACCAGCACCCATATGGGATACTGGCACTGCAGGTGGTGGCTTTACCCCTAAGCCAGAGCACCGCCCCCCTGTAGTGTTCTTTTTATGCTGTGTCCTTTCCTGATTTCGGAATAATGTAATTCTGGCATGGCAGAATGAATTTGGAAGAGTTATCTCTCTTTCAAGTTTCTGGAATAGTTTGAGGATTGGTACAAGTTCTTTAAAAATTTGGTAGAATTTGGTGGTGAAGCAATCTGGCCCTGGAGTTTTCTTTGTTGGGAGACTTTTGATTACTGATTTAATTTCCTTACTCATTATTGTTCTGTTTAGATTTTCTGTATCTTCAGTTGTTCAGTTTTTTTAAAAGATTTATTTATTTTACTTGAAAGAGTTACATAGAGTGAGAAGGAGAGGCAGAGAGAGAGGGGTCTTCTATCCTCTGGTTCACTCCCCAGATGGCTGCAAGCTGTGCCGATCCAAAGCCAGGAGCCAGGAGCTTATTCCAGGTCTCCCACATGGGTGCAGGGGCTCAAGGACTTGGGCCATCTTTTGCTGCTTTCCCAGGCCATAGCAGAGAGCTGAATCAGCAGTGGTGCCATATATGGGATGCCGACATTGCAGATGGTGGCTTTACCCGCTATACCACAGTGCTGGTTCCTGGTTTTGGTAAATGTTTCCAGGAATTTATCCATTTCTTCTTTTTCCAATTTGTTGACATATAGTTGTTAATAATCCCTGAAGGGACTGGGCATTTAGGCTAGTGATAGCATCCAGGTTCCTGGGTTTGATGCCTGGCTTCATATACTAGATTCAGTTTCTACTAATGCAGATCCTTGATGGCAACAGTAATGGCTCAAATAGCTGTGTTCCTACACACATTTAGGAGACCTGAATTACATTCCTGGCTGTCATCTGTTGTCCCAACCCAGTCCTGGTCGCTGTGGGCATTTGAAGAGTGAACCAGTGGATAGGAGCTTGCTCTAAGTCTGTCTCTCTGTATCTCATAAACAGACAAATATAGGAATAAATAACTATCCAGGGTGCCATAATGTGAGGATTCTTTATAAAGTTCTTGGAAAATAAAGTGAAAAAAATAAGAGACAAATTTATTTTTAAACAAGTCTTCAAGAAATTTTGTATCTATGTGTTATCAGTTGTGACATCTCCTTTTTAATTTCTGACATTATTTATTTAAATAACTTTTATTCTTAATTAAAACTTTATATCAGTTTTATTTATCTTTTTAAAAAGCCCACTATGCATGCAAGTGTAAAGCTGGTTTTGTGATGATGAATTCCTACAGCTTTTGCTTGTCTGGGGAAGTCTTTGTTCCTTATGAAAGATAAATTTGCTAGGTAAAATATTCTTCGCTGGCAGTTATTTTCTTTTAGAACTTGAGATATATCATTTCAGTTTCTCTGGGTCCGTAAGATTTCTTTTGAAAAATCTGTGGCTAATCTAATGGAGATTACCTTAAAATTGACCTGATGCTCATTTTTTGGGGGGGCTACTTTACAATTCTCTATGAGAGTTTGACTATAATGTACCATGGTGAAGATCTTTTCTGGTCATGTCTGTTTGGGGTCTTACAGGCCTCTTGTACTTGGATTTCCATAAATTTCTCTAGATTGGGTAGCTTTTAAGCTCTTTTGTCATTGAATAGGTTTTCTAAGCCTTTACTCCTCTCTCTGCCCTCAGAAGGTCCCACATTTTGAGTATTTGTTCGTTTAATGGTATCCCAAAGGTCTTGGGGATTTCTTTCATTCTTTTTATTTTCTTATCTTTTTTTTTTTGGAAGGGGGAGGCTGACTGGAATATATCCTCAAGTTCAAATGCTTTTCTTCTGCTTGATCAGTCTGTTATTGAAGTTTTCAACTGTATTTTTTATTTGACTCACATCTTCATTTCCATGATTTCTGTTTGGTTTCTTTCAAACTCTCTTTCTAGTGAATTTTCTCATTTATACCATGCATTGTTTTCCTCATTTCATTCAACTGCATGCATTGTTTTATATATCTTTGAGCTTCTTACTAAGTATTCTTTTAAATTCTTTATTAGTTATGTCATCCATCTCCTTTTTTCTTTTGGAATCTGTTACTAAAGTATTGGTTTTTTTAAGGGCATCATATTGCTTTGCTTTTTTGTATTTCCTGTGTTCTTATGGTTTTATTTGCACATATGCTGGATTAGTTCTTTTGATCACATTTGATGAGTGGTTTTCTTGATGAAAAATTTTTCTTGAAAATGTGTCTTCAGGTGTCAGTTTAGTAGGCTGTTTTGGTTTTATTTCCAATTGGATGCTGTAGTCTAGTTTCCCTGTGTCTTCTTTCACTGCAACTGATGTTAGCAGCAGTCAGTGCATAGGGTGCTCCAATTAGTGTCCATAACAGCCTGTAGGGTAATTAAGGTTTGTGGTCCCTGGTGTGCCAGACCTCAGTCTACTGTGACTGGGATTGTGGAAAACTGGCTCAGAGACCTTGAGGTGTCATTTAGGTGCTTGCATTGATCACAATAGCATTGGCTCAGTCTGGCAGGGACTCCCATCTCCATAGTGCCAGCCTCTATTTCTATGCAATTTCTTGGTACTTGCATACCTTTTATTTCCCCAAGCAGAAAATTATTCTCTCTGTGTTATTCTCATGCTGCCTCTGGTTCAGGGAAAAATAGAATCAGCAGCCCTGTGGCCACTTATGCAGCAAAGCTGGATCACAACCAGAGCCCACAGCCTGTCAAGACCATGGCAGCGGGAGTAGGACCAAGGCTTACTTACTTTTTTTTTTTTTTAAAGAGTTATTTATTTATTTGAAAGAGTTACACAGAGAAGGAGAGGCGGGGCGGGGGGTGTCTTCTATCTGCTGGTTCACTCCCTAATTGGCTGCAACAGCTGGAGCTGTGCCCATCTCAAGCCAGGAGATCCTTCTGGGTCTCCCACACGGGTGCAGGGGCCCAAGGACTTAGACCATCTTGTACTGCTTTCCCAGACCATAGCAGAGAGCTGGATAAGAAATGGAGCAGCCAGGACTCCAAACCGTGCCCATATGGGATGCCAGCACTGCAGGTGGCTGCTTTACCCACTACGCTACAGCGCCTGCCCCAAGGTTTACTTTCTATAGGCTATCTGCTGCTGGGGTGAACTTGTGGCCCAAGGCTTCAGCAACCAGCCACAGCTGATTGCTGACCAGAAAATAAGCCCAATAGACTGGGGTCAAGTGTCTCCATTTGGGACTGGGGGCAGGTCCAGATATTCCATGCACAGGCACAGGCCTAGG